GTTAAAAATCTTTTGTTCGTATTCATTTTGTTCATGTTGTTCTTAATTATTAATTTATAAGAAATAATTTATTCACAATTCTCAAAATATATTGTAATTATATTGTATAATCAAGTTTATACTACAATTGTGTTAAAACAACATGAGCTTATGTGGTTTGTGACAAATTACCTTAAAACTATGTAATATAAAATCAAATCTGCTTGCTTTCAATACAAGAGGTTGTATTGAAAGCAGGCAATTTATAAACAAATTTTTAGAAAAAATTATATATTGCTTCAAGTAGCTTTAGTTTCAAAATTAAATAAAAAAGAATTGATTTTTTTATGTTTTAGAGGCCTATTTTTTAAATCAATGGATGTAAAAAGTAGGCCATCAGCCATTATATATTAATACTTTTATATAAATAAGTTTTAAGGGCATGGATATAGTCATGTTCTGCAACAACCATCTTGTCTGCACAACATATGCCTGTATCCATTCGTTTTACAATTTTGTATTGAAGAAATACCATGGTGATAATGAAGATGTTTTAAAAGATCACTTAAAGTCTCTAAAAATAACCCATTATTTGTCATTACAATTGATAAAGATTTTGCAAGTAAAAATTACGCATAAAAACACTATAACATATAGTTCCAATTAAAAACTATTTTTATTTAATGTAACAAATTATAACATTTTTTAGCATTAATTAGCATTATTAACATTAATTAGCATTATTAATTCTAAAAATTTGCTATTATTTTTTAGACTAGGGACTAATTAAGAATTTAAAATTTACAAAATTTTTTAGAATAAAATGAGGAAAAAATAACCCAAAATTTTTATTTAAAGTCATGAAATAAAAATATTATAACAAATAATGACTTCTCAAATCGTCAGGTTATAAATATTTTGTTTAATGTTTTAAATTTGAAAAAACAAATATAAATGGTTTTCGTTTTGTTTAACAATTTTTTCTTCAACCTGTACTATTTCTAAAATAAAATAAAAGTTTCAAATAGTGTTATATCGGTGTAAGCCAATGTTCTATATTCAAAACAGCAGTAGTTGTAAATGCTATTTTGTTCTTTTCCTAGTAACCAATCAAACTGAGTATAATTTACATGAACTAAACTTGTATAAGTTTATTTCGTTGAAATTGATTTTTAAATTGCAAAAAAAAAGTAGTTTATTTCTTAAAGTAATAAACAAAATTAGAGGTACATTCTCATTTATTTTCTAGTATTTGTATTGCTAATCAGCTTTTCTTAGTTATTAGTAAATAATACGCAGTCCGCACACTTTTTTAGTAGGACTTGTAATATCATTTTAAAACCTTACAAATACTGTTGTATTATGGGTAATGATACTAAATAAAGACTCATTATAGTATACAGAGTGCATAAAGTGAATATAACTTATATTTACCTGGCAGGATTCTTAAAATGAATTATTTTATTTATAAAGCAAATTATCTTCTTGTTACTTATTTGTGTTCTGTAACTTTTTTTATGTTTAATTTTCATTTTCAGACTATCTGATTTTCATTATATCAAGGTTGATAATAATAATATTACTAATATAATGTTTTCTAATGTTCCAACACATCCTTTAATTGCTGGTCAACTGCGATTATCTTCACATGACGAGAAAATGAAAAAACGTAAGGAAAACTGTTTTAACTGGGAACAGTCAAGAAGAAAGTAACTTTGACAATTAGGAAAAAATATATAAATATTAGTGGCAAGCTTTTGCAGCCAAAAGTATTAAAAATAAAAAAGAATGTGAAAATTCTTACAAGTTTAAGTGTTTTAAAAAGATGTCTGAAAACAAGAATAAAATATTATTTAAAGGACTGTAGGCAATGTCTCAGATTAAAGCAACACTTTTTTAGTAAAACTACTGAACGATTACATTTATCTTCCTCATTTAAACAAGTTTTTACTTTTGGTTGATTCTTGTGTTCCATAGAATAGAAACAATTATACCTTAGCAGAATTACATTCAAATATTAAATATATAAATACTCTTATTGATCATCCAAATATTGAAAATCATTGAGCAAAAGTATTGTGAGCCAGAGCATATCTCCATTTTGAAATGTGATAACACACACTGTCCGATTGTGAGAAATCATTATGTTCAGCAAAAACATTTTGTCCTCCTTGATTGGTGTATTGTTGAATGTTGAACAACGTATAATTTTTGTCTGCTAAATGCTTTTTAGCATTTAGCAGACAAAAATTATAAATGCAAAAGCTTTTTAGCTTTTGCAGAAAAAAGCTAAAAAGCTTTGACTTTGAACAAAGTTTTTATATTATTTCTATTAAAAACATTGCTTGTCTACTTTCATAAATCTTTTTAGATAAAGTAATTTTCCTATAAATAATATGGCTTTGGTTAAAATCAGTTTTTTTTAATTGAAACTATCCATTCTTCCAGAAGCAATGTCAGTAAAATTTAAAGTATTAAGAAAGTTTATTAAATATCTATTTAAGTTTGCAAATTAAGTGTTTTAGATCTGAAGAGCTTATTTTCAAAACGCGGTAAGCGCCAATTTTAAAAAAACTGCGTTAAGTGACTAATTTTGAAGAGAAAATTAAATCCTTTCAAGTCATGTTTGTAACTAATTAATTAGGCTTAATTTTTTTTTTTTTTAATTTAGGCTCAAAAAATAATTTATTTTCAAAACGCCATATAATTTTTTTAGTTTATTTTCAATGTGCTGTATATTTTTTGGACCAATCCGTGCTTATATAAAGTTACTCCACGCAAGCGTAATAAACATATTTAAATAATAATAATAAATATGGCTGATTTGGATAGCTTAGATAAAAGTGTTGTGTTAACGTTAAAATCACGATAAAGAAAAAAACAATGTTCTGCAAGAGAGAAAAAAAAGTTATTTAGACATTCAAGTGGAGGAAAAATTTCTTCTATATCATGTAATCATGTTTCAGGTTACTGCAAAGTGAGTTTTTTTTGGTTTTATTAATCTACGTATATTGAATTTTATAATTCAGTTATGAGTTTAAACTTTTTATATGCACAATGTAAGATTACTTGGCATAGTTTGTGTTTATGGCAAAATAATCATTTATTGATTGACTTATTTCAGGCTCAAGATATAACCAGGGCTGTGGAGTCGTAGTCAGAGTGGCAGAGTTGCGACAATTTTAGCGGAGTCGGAGTAGCTAAAAAATATCGCGACTCCGACTCCGAAAGTAATATTTCTTGGTATTACACGTACATGTACAAAACATTCAGTTAACCTTATGTTTATACTAAACCTCAAAGAACGTTGCATAAATTTGTCAAAAAAAAATTTCAATTTATTGCAATATTTTTTAAAGAATTCAAAGAATTTTTCAAAAATTTTGCGTCGGAGTTGGAGTCGGAGTTGTACTCAAAAAATTTCAACAACTGGAGTCGGAGTCATTACTTTTTTGTTACGACTCCACACCTCTGGATATAACATAGGATAATTTGCTTAAAATTCATACAGAATTCTATAGTATCGCAAGTAAAGTATCACAAGATGCTACTATACTGTCAATGCTTAATATAATCAATGTGAAAAGAGTCAGAGTGAAATATAATAATCGAAAAAAGTTAAGAACTATAAGTAATGAGTACTTTTTATGCTGTAAGGGAATTAAAGTACGAGTTTTCCAAGCTTCATTTTGTTCAGTATTGTTTAAGTATAAAATTACTTTTAATTCAGAAATAAAATGTATATTTTGTTAAAAAAAAAGTTAGTGAGAAAAAGTTGATATTTTATTAATTTATTCCAGTCATAAAACCTGATAGAGTTTTAAGAATTGCAAGACACTGGTATGAACATGGAACAACCAGACAAGAAAATATAGGAGACAGGAAGAAAGTAGCTTTTTCTGAAAAGAAAGAAGCTATTTTCTTTTCAAAAAAAGGTGCTCCAGGACGTAAATATTTGCCCTCTTGTTTAAATGTAAAGCGGATGTACAAACTTTTTTTGGATAAAAACAATACTTATACTGTAGGCTACCATTATTATTATGGGGTATTTATGAACCATTTCAATTTAGCTTTTGGATACCCAGCAACAGATACATGCTCTACATGTAAAACATATAAGTTGGCTATGAAAAACCAAAATAATATGGATGACCAAAAAAAATTAAAAACTGACCATAATTTTCTAAAAACTGAAAGACAATGTTTTTCGTCTTCTCAGTCTTGTAAGAGTAAAAGGCAGAATAATTACTATGTATAAAACACTACTCTGTAATGCCACTGAAGATGATACTAACCTTAGTGAAGAAGATAGTTCATAATTTGATTTAATTGTTTTTTAGCTGTGAATTTTGTAAACATGTTTTAGTTAAGATACAAATGTTTTAAAAAATCTCCAGCATAACGTGATTTATTTTGTTGTTTTTTTAGTTTATGTTATTGAATACAAGAATACAATAGTCATTAACACCTTATATATTTTTATAGTTGCACTTGTGAATTGTTTTAAAAAAATTGCTGATTTATATCAAAGGAGAACAAGATTTTGAGGTAGATCTTATAATGCATAACAAAATAATATGTTTCATTAATAAATATATTTTATTAATGAAATAGATATAAAGCGTTTAGTTAATAAATAAAACATGGATATACAGCATTTTGAAACAAAAAAAAAATAACCACTGAAATTATACATCGATCTCATTAAGTTTGATTTCAGCATATATTGTAGTCTTATTAATAAAGTACATGTTTAACTAAATCAATAATGACTTATTCTAAAATACTTAATTTCTTTAGGCAGGTGAAAAGTTTGATTTACTTAAAACCCAAAAAATGGGTTTACAGCGTTTTGAAAATATGCTCTTCATCTCTATATTCGATTTTAAATCCCTAATTTAAATGTTATTTTTTGTATTACATTTAATTATAAAAATAATGTTAACACAAAACTTAACTTAAAAAAAAGTTATTTTTCTTATTTCCAAACAGGGTGGTGCCATAATAGCAATTTGAGTAAG